ACTGATACTGGTTGAGCTCTAGGACCAAGCGGAAAGCAACCGTTTGTGTTGAAGCCTGTTTCCCATTAGAACATATTGTAAAGCTACCCCCCCCCCCCCCCCCCCATGTCCCCCCACTTCTAAAGTGAAAATTACATCCTTGTGGATGAGCCACGGTGGCTTCAGTGTTGGCAGGGGTGTTTGGCCCTTGGTTACAGACCAGTTGTTACAAACTCAACTCAGAAAAAGACAAAATAAACTGGCTGAGTGTGTGGAAACCACTGGAAACGTAAAACAGTGGACATCGGATGATTTCAGGTGCAAAAGTTGGTTATGTTGCATCATTTTTGTGTGCCAAGCAGGACACCTTCAGGGCTGCAGCCCCACCTTATGGTTCTTGACTGATATTACAACTTAACTCAACAGTAACGTCTCTTAGATTTATTTTTCCAACAGAAATGCAAACAGCCAGCTGAAGTCACACGGTGCTGGTGACCCTGACCACACACGTAACCACAGGCGCTGCTCTGCAGCCCACCAGCAGCTTTAAATGTTACAGCTGCTCGTCTCCCTCAGACCTCCTCAACAACGGCCTGAGCCCTCCACAGCTGGGTGATGGGAAACTTTTAGATGTTGCGAGGATTTGATCAAAGGTTTTTAATGTAAATGTCACCATTATCAAACAGATATTTGTGTTTTACATGACTGTGGGGCGACAGTCTATAAGCGGCTTTCACAGTCCATCCCACAGACGTTGATATTTTATGAATGAGGTGGTTTTAAGGACTCTGAATGAACCCAAAGGTGCACTGGAAAAGTTTGCGAGAAATTGCAAATTATTTGTAAAAACATCCAACGAGATATTATTTTCATTCATTTATTCATGAATCCAACATTTTCTGAAGTTTTGACAGAAAGAGAAACTATTCAGATTGAACATTGCTCTCCTCAGGCTTCAGGGGAAGGGAGTGGCGTGGAGGGATCCGAAGTCCCAAATCGTTACAGGGAGAAACACCGATACACGGTATGAAACCACCTTTATTTCTTTTGTGCATTTGGCGTAATCCATAATCTAATTTAAGCAAAGAGCTTTCTCTGATTCTGCTGCTGATGGTGTCTCTTAAGTTATGTTTTGGAATTCCTCTGGAACATTTACTTTAGGTATGCTGTAAAACTAGGAAAGGGGGATTAAACGTTAAAGATCAAGTCACCCCCTACACGAGTATTACTCCACTCCCAATTCCTGTTGGAAAAATGCAACTAATGCTGTTGCCTAGCAGACCGAGAGGGCGGAGCCACTAACCAATAAACACACACACAGGCTCACAATGACATTGTGACATCATATGGTACCAGCTAACGTTCTAGGGTACCTCTTAGCCAATAGCGATGGCAGATTTAAATTCAAATGCAGAGCAGAGTTTTTACCTGACAACAACACAACACTGACAGTTTTAGGCAGAGAATTTAAATTTGAACTAAAATACACTGAAGTGCAAAACTGTTGACGACTCGTGTCTGCAGCACGATTAGACACACATTTATTCAGTCTATCAAAAAACAAAAGATGATTTGGGGTGACTTGCTCTTTAACAACTGGCTAAAATGTTGCTTATAAGCTTAAAGTCACTTTATTAAAAAAATTATTAGATTAGTCTTGACTAACAGGTGGACAAATTCTCATTCCTGAAGGAAGACTGAAGAAATAATGCAGATTTCTGGAATTTGAGCGACATCTGTCTTCTACATTTTGGGATTAATAAAAGTTTTACATTAAAGAATTTCCTCTTTATATGCTGGAAAGGAAACAACCTTTTACAGTCAAAACCTCGACGATGGTCAAATAAAACAATTTATTTATGATTACGCCGAGCAGCCTGGTGGAAGTCAGAGGGAACCTTGTCGTTTCCACACCTCCTTTACTTTTAGCAGCAGATTATCTGAGAAACAGACACATCATTTATAGCAGCTGTATCTCTGCTCCTTGTTCTTGTCACATTACACACACACACACACACACACACACACACACACACACACACACACACACACACACACACACACGCACACACACACACTCGCACACACACACACACACACACACACACACACACGCACACGCACACACACGCACACGCACACACACACACGCACACACACACACTCGCACACACACACACACACACACACACACACGCACGCACGCACACACACACCCTCGCACACACACACACACACACACACACACGCACGCACGCACACACACACACACACACACACACACACACACACACAACATAGATGCTCACGGCCTGCAGTCTGCTCCACCTTTACCTTTTGCTTGTGCACATTTGCAATTATAGCTAAACCAGGTGTGGTTTGGGACCCAGTCCGATCCAGTTCCGCGGCTCCTCTCGCCGCAAGGTTTTGTTTTTCTGACTGGTTTCTTCATCAGGAGCTGACAGAGGTGGAAAAGGAGGTTGGGGAGAAGAAAGAATGAACGGTCAGGTGGTTCACTTCCGAGGTTTCCTCTTATTGCGGCGCAGCTTTTACGAGGGGCTTTTTTCCTCACGTCTGCAGGCAACAATTACCAACATCCAGTGTGGTGTCAGAGGAAACAGCTGGAGTTTAATGTCAACCTGCCAGTGTGTTGTTTTTTCTTCCATCTGATGAGGATCTGTTCACACCGTGTAACTTCGACCCGTGCACTCGTCCAAAGCTGCGTGATTAAGGCAAGTTTGGGCAAAGACAAGTCAGAGAGGGAGAGTCGGAGACGAGAGACTTTCCATTTTGTCATCCTGGAATTCAGCCATGATGGATGGAAGCGTCAGTCATCATTAACCGTGTCACCTCCTGGCTTCAAAGCTTTGGGTTGAGACAAAAGCAAGGAAACACGTTGCTACACAACAGTTAGCATAAAATTGGGATAAAACTGCAGATTTTCAGCTGGAATCGCATGAAACTGTTATAAAAGTCATGCTAATGTTTTGTTAGTTTAGCGCTCAACTCTTTAGTGAATTTTGAGCAAATGTTCCTGTAATGTAGTCACAAAATGTCAAATCTTGGCAGAATTAGGTTCATTTTTGCTTTTTTTCTCCCTTTAAACCTTTTAAACTTTAGAAAGCTTTACTCGCTGAAAACAAAATTAAGAGTGTTTGTCATGATTTTCAGACGCACTCCATTAAATTTGTCTTTTCTTATGTTCACATTTTAAAAACCAAAGCCTCGCAAACGTTCATTTGTCAAAATCTGAGCGATTCCGGCTTTGGGGTTTTGTGAAATCAAGCATTCTTATGTGAGGGTTTTATAATCTTATTAATGATTATGTTGAAAGGTCATTGGTAGGCTGGACTGCTGGTTTTACAGCTGACATAAAATAAAAACAAAATAATTAATTGAACATTTGCTGCCACAAAATCAGAACAGCTAAAAAGGGTTTTTCTTCTGCACTCAAGCCAATTTTCCCAACAGTATTTTTCATGAAACTTCAGAAGAAGAAAACGTTTCTGCTCCACAGCTGGAAAGCTGGAATCATTCTCCATTCTCCCCGTGCACGAAAGGGTTCCCTCCGGGTGCTCCGGCTTCCTCTGACAGTCCAAAAACATGACCGTCAGGTTGATTGGTCTGTCTAAAACTGTCCTTAGGTGTGTGTGTGTGTGTGTGTGTGTGTGTGTGTGTGTGTGTGTGTGTGTGTGTGTGTGTGTGCATGGTTGTTTGTCCTGTGTGTCTCTGCATTGCCCTGCGATGGACTGGCTCTCAGTCCAGGGTGTACCCCGCCTGCATGCCCTGGAGGTAGGACCAGCCCCCTGCAACCCTGCGTGGATACGCGGGTGCAGACAATGGATGGATTATGACAATAAAACTGATATTCTTTGATTTAGTATTTGTTTGGAATGAGTGTTAACAAACAAACAAAAATAAATAAATAATAATAATAATACACTTTATTTATAAAAGCACAATTCACACAGAAAATAAAACTCAAAGTGCTTTACTAATTAAAATGACCCCACATGCCCAGGAATGCAAAAGTATTTTAACAATACCTTCTCATTACACTCATTTTCTGACACACGTACACACACACACACACACACACACACACACACATGCGCACACACACACCTACACACACACACGACATAAGAAAGAAAATAACACACACTGGGCTGAGTTCAGATGAGCCAGAACAGCTATTAAGTTAATGCCATTAAGGGAGCCATCTTCAAATCTACCAGTATTACAGTTCTGAACACACCAGGAAGACTTTGGCACTTACATTTCCAGGAAAGATGCAAAAACTCATCGAATAAAGTGAACTTATGAGGAAATGTGGATTTTCTGAATGATTTTCAGAACAAAATGAAGAAATTTTTGCCTTTGAAATAGATTTTCTGGCCCTCTAACTGAACAAGTCCATATTTAGTTGTAAATATTTATTTAGTTCACTTTCAGAGTTAAAGAATTTAACCTCCAACCGGCTGCTTGTTGATTTGTTTGTGTCATGAAAAGGTTTGTTATCCATCTGGGAGACGTTTCTGATGCAGTGACTCATGTTAGTTTGTGATTCATGTTTACAAAGAGGAACTTTTTCCCACAGAGGCAGATTGGGTTTCGGCTGTGGGAGGTGGAAACAGAGAGAGAGAGAGAGGGAAAAGCAGTGTGCCCTTTTGCCATTTTAAACCTTTTTCTTTATTTTTACTTCAACATGTTTTTCTGCAGACAACGACTCCATCCTTACCTCCCATCCCGCAGCCGCCGCTCAACAGAAAAGGAGAGGAAGCCACCGTCAGAGAGAGTGGTGAGATGACCGTGCTTTTATCTGTTTATTATCCTTTTTGTGGAGATAAAGGAAGTTCAAGATACTGTAAATTTCCTCAAAAGTCCTTTAAAGCATTTTCTTTTCTAATGGATGAAATCAACTTGCAGAACTGTCGGAGACGATAAATGTCGCCCTCTAGTGGATAAACTGAGTAACACAGAGAGTTTAAGCTTTCTGTCTATTTGCTCCTTTTAGTCCTAATCGTGTCCTTTTCCCATGATTCCCAGAAGGATAATCGATGCTTAAAATTCTTTAGCAGTTTTGTTTAATCATTAGTTTTGCACAGCTGCAGTCTGGACTCACAGAAATCAAAATGCTATTTAACTACTTCTGCACAGATTCTGCACACGAGTTCTTGGAGCAGCTTGTATAGCGGGGGTGGAAAGAAGGACAAACCTGAACAAAGCCGAACGTCCTGCAAAAAAAAAACCATTTCCTGTTTCCTGTTGACTTGAGTGTCACATCTGTTTAGTTGTAGTGGAAATGATTAGGATGGTTTCTGCACCCTTTTATGGCTGAAAGGAAATGGGGCGTGTTTATGTGTGTGAACATGTTTACTCGTGGGTTTTTATTTCTGGGGCAGAACATGCTTCTGCTTTTGTGCTCAGACCTGAATTCAGTCATGATTTAGCCTCAAACTTTACACTCACAAGAACTCAGTTTTAGAATAATTTTGAGGATAAGCTGCTGCATGTCTTCTATTCAGTGCATTCGGTCATCAGAACAAGCCGCACATATCTGCGTGTCTGTTGCTGCAGTTTCCTGTTTAAACAGACAGAAATCTGCGGTTTTATCTGACATCGTAATAGCCGATCTCAGCTGGAAAACGTGCGTTTAATAATAAATAACTGTATTTTGGTTTTATGTGCATTTTTAGTCAGAGACTTTGTAGTTTCTGCAGAATCCCAGTCCAGACGTCTCGGTGCAGCAGGTGAGGACGTCTCCAAACTGAGCTTCTTTTTTATTTACAGTCCCGATGCATTTCTCACAGGATAGTTAGCATGGCTCTAAAACCCTCAACAGCAGTAGATTAATAAAAAAAAATGTTAATTGTACTACAATAAAATCACAGGCTGTATTTAACTTCCTGCTTCCTCTGGTAACAGGAAATGTTTAGTTTGACAATATTAATGACCACATTCATCGTTGATGTTTTCCAGGTGCAGTCGGTGCTAAAGGAGAGAAGGGCGAACGAGGGGACAGGGGGGAGAAAGGAGACAGGGGTGCTATTGGGCCAAAGGGAGAAGCAGGTTCTGGCTTCGGCTCACGGGGGGGAATCCGTGGAGAAAAGGTTGGATCATACATGTTTTTTTGTTTTTTTTATCTGAGCATCTTTTCAGCTGAAAACCCTCCAACCACCACTAGAGGGAAGCAAACCCTCAAACGACTTCATATTTGACATTTATTTATTTTATATAGGTCATAATGCATATAATACACATGAAAACAATAATAATTATCTAATAATGATCATAATGATCATTAACACACTTCCAACTTCCTCTTGTGAACAAGACAGTTTCTTTAGATATAATTTATGATCAGAATGGTACAGTTAAACTTATTTAAGCCTACCCATTAACTCATTACAAGAAATCAACAGTGTCATAAATAAACAGTTGATAACAATACAGTTATTAGGTACATCATCTTAGATTTAACAAAATCAATCCAGAGGTATAAACGTGAGACAAACCTAATTTTGTTGTGCATAGTAGTTATTTTTAAAACACTTTTTGAATATTTTCAACGAGCAAGATGTTATGAACGATCATCAAAGCTATTCCATAAACTCCCTCCTCTTACTGAAAAACATCTTTTTTTATTAGTTCTAGTTATCTTTATTTTGAAAATCCCAGTTCCTCTTAGACAATATCCTCCGTCCCGATGTTCAAACATCCTTTGGAGATCAGGTGGAAGATTAGCGTGATGGACCTGATGTACTACGGCCAGAGTGTGCAGGTCAACACTATCGTGACATTTTAGAATTTTTACATGCATAATGATGGGTTTGTTGGTGCATAATAGTTAGCATGATAAATGATTCAAACTGCCATTTTTTTGAAGTATATAGGATGAATATTTGCTGTGTAATTATTCCCCATATTTCAACACCGTAGCTCAGATATGGAAAAATAAAGGAGCTATACAGTAGGGGTTGTAGGAACTAGTCGACTTCACGGCTCTGTAGTGACTTTTTATGCCTGTCATCAACTAGTCGCTGTCACGTGATAATGACTGACAAGATGCAGTCCTCGGAAATGACAGCAGGTGATGAGCCCCTGCGCGTCTGGATCGAGGCGGAGGCGACGCGCTGTGCGGTACTGACACTGGCGGTAAAACAGACATTTAACCAAACTGTGACCTTTTCCCTCTTGCAATTTAACCTTCCCATCACCCCATCCTAATCTTAACCAGTTTGCACATGCAAAGCTCTGATCACTGACGTGCGCTCCAGACATCTGCGTCCTGAGCACCGCCAAATCAGGTGTCACCACCTCAAAAACAAATTAAACACGCCATCGTTCATGTTGGCTCATTTCCTTTCATGTTTTCTGTCTGTTATTTGTGCCTGATGCGTTTCGCTGCTGCGGAGCGAGGCACATCACCTGTTGTCCTCCGGTGACGCACCCCCAAGATTCCACTATCTCCACTCCGCTCCGCTCCGGCATGAACTCCGCAGCAAAAACGGTCCCGTTGTAGTCGGCCGGCGAGCAGCGGCACTCCGCTGTTTTTGCGGTCGGTAGCTCTTTTAGAACTGCAGTTCAAAGGTAACTCATGAGGTGAATATATATGAACCCAGGTAGCAGTTTCTCTTTAGGACTGAGAGGAGATGCAGGAAGATAATAAACAGGCAGGACAGAAAAATAGTCAAATAAAAACAAGTTAGTTTTTGTACCTGCTGGTTGCAACAAACAGACACCACTGAAGGTAATCAGAAGTGAGGAACAGAAAATGAAATAATTATTTTAATGTTTAGAGCAGCAGGAACTCCGAGAGGCTGCAGGCGCATCAGTGAGTTTGCTGCCGCTGCGCAGGGGGAGGGGGGAGAGGGCTGAAGCAGGGGGAGGGGGGAGAGGGCTGAAGCAGGGGGAGGGGGGAGAGGGCTGAAGCAGGGGGGGGGGGGAGAGGGCTGAAGCAGGGGGAGGGGGGAGAGGGCTGAAGCAGGAAGCAGAAACTACCGTTGATAAAAGAGATGTGCTAACTTAGAAAATGTGGGCGCAATTTTAATTGTCAAAAACTCCAGCGAACCTACCGACCAACCGACCCCCCCCCCCCACACCCCCACCCCAGCCACCGCTTCCGGCGTATGACGTCATCAACGACTAGTCGAAGTCGACTCGACTTTCATTACTTGACTGTCGACTTTAAAAAAAATAAAGTCATGCAGGCCCTAGTATACAGTATCTGAAGGGATTTAATATCTAAAACAAATCTCATTCTACTCATAAGTCCTATATTTTTTTATATTTTTAACTTTATATCATCTATATGTAGCTTCCAACTCAGTTTTCCATGCATAGTAATTCCAAAAAATGTATATGTGTGTACTTGTACTTGGATATCAAGACTTTTGCACTAAAGTATTTTATTCTGAACAGTTTATTCTGAGTTTAAAGCATTTGTGTCCTTCTAGCTTCAGAAATGACAGGAAAAAAGATGCAAAATCCCAAAAACCTGCTGCTACTGTAATTAATAATATTATTTTCTTTAGGGTCGCTTTTAAAGATGATCTTAACTCCTACAGATACCTAAAGGACAGATTCTGACTGAATTAATAATTAAACACACATAAAAAAGAAGTCTGTGAATTCTTCAGGCTTTCATTTCTTTGTTTTGTGGTTTTATTTTCAGGGAGAACCTGGTGAGAGAGGTTTGAAGGTAAGTGGAGCTGTACTCGGTTAAAAACGATCAGCTTCGTAGTTTAGCATGCTCTTGCATCATGGGTTCAGGTGAAAGACGTCTTCCTTCTTAGCTGAGGAGTTTTCTCGGTGCAAACAGGAAATCGTTGATTTGATCTTTGTTAACGGAACCTACTGATCTCCAGACCCTGTCTGAGGGTCTTCAGGGTTCTTGTTATTCTGCTTTCCATTAGAATCTGAACTCCAAGCGTTTATTCCTCATTCTTCCAGGGTAATGCAGGCTTTGGCTATCCGGGTAAAAAGGGTGATCCTGGACCACCTGGAGTTCCTGGGCCCCCGGGCCCTCCAGGGCCTGCAGCTGAGTATTCAGTTGCAAGTGATGGCTCGGTTGTTTCCAGAGTACCTGGTCCTCGAGGACCCCCTGGAGCACCAGGCTCTCAGGGACCTCCTGGAGAAGATGGAGAACCAGTGAGTGGCGGTTTTGTGACTTTAGGTTCTGGTTAGGGTTTCTATTTGGACTTGTTTAAGTCTTTGGTTCTGTCCTGCAGGGGGATCCCGGTGAGGATGGAAAAACTGTGAGTTTTTTTTTCTGCTCACCATCAGCAATAATGAGAGTAAGATTTATATCTTGTGGTTTTATGTTTCTAACAGGGTCCTCAGGGACCCCCGGGCTTCCCCGGAACCCCAGGTGACTCCGGACAGAAAGGAGAGAAGGTTTGAAACACAAACTGTTTGCTAAAGCTTTAGGGGTTAGCTCCATGGTGGAGAACCACCTGGTCTCACTGAAACTTGCATGTGTAGGGAGACCGTGGAGAGGGTCAGCCTGGCCCCAGGGGACTACCAGGACCACCTGGAGCTCCAGGACCAGGATACAGATCTGTGAGTTCATTAGAGTCACAATCATGACTTGTACAAGCTGCATCTGAATCAGATAAACCTTTAATGTTTCAGACCTTTGAGGACATGGAGGCTTCTGGATTCTCTGATCTGGAAACCGTTCGGGTGAGAAGAGTTGCCCTGTTTGACAGACTTCTGGAATTGTTTAGGTTATAAACTGGTCTCCATTTTGGACACAGGGACCTCGTGGACCACCAGGTCCCCCTGGCCCCCCTGGTCCTCCAGGTCCCTCCACGTCAGGTTCAACATCGAACTCTGGAGCATTTGGACCTCCAGGCAAGGATGGAGCGCCTGGTCTGCCCGTAAGTGTTAAGCTTCTTTTCACCTAACACCTCCAAACATCAGGCTGCTTTGTTGATGGAGAGATTGATTGTAGAATTAATCTAATCAAGGGAAAACCACATTTTTGGGCCTTTAGGGTTCACCGGGATTACCGGGCTCCGATGGCCCTCCTGGAGCTCCTGGTCCAAGGGGAGAAAAGGTCAATTTTGATTTTTGACACAGTCTGACTTCAGTTAAACCTAAATAAATAAAAAATAGCTCACAGCAAATAAAGTTTGTGTCTTTGTTGGAGTCTTATTTAGAAAATTTGGTTATCTGTTCACCAGGGGGACTCGGGAGAGCTGGGACTTCCAGGAGCAATCGGACAAAAGGTTGGAATTCACCTTTAGGGGGTTTTGTGGTTTTATTTTTGTTTATTTTCTACCTTATGTAATATTTTCATTTAACTGTGAAGTCAACACACAACCAAATGCAGATCTATCTTATTTTCACCAGATATTTTATTTGTGACTCATTTCACCACATTTCTACAAGCCAAGTCATTTTTAATGGCATTGATCAAAGAACATGACTTTCTTATGTCTTTCATATTTATTAACTGCCCCCTGCAGGGAGCTCAGGGAGACCTCGGTTTACCGGGACCACCAGGCGAGCCTGGACTGGCTGGTCTGCCAGGGCCCATGGGACCAGTTGGACCTCCTGGACCTGCAGGGCCTCCTGGACCAAGTTATCGTGTTGGATTTGTGAGTTTGGTTTTACGTGTCTGTTTCTGGAACGTCACTCAGGTGTTGATGTTCATTTCAGTTCCTCTTGTAGAAGAGAACGTTCATCCTTACACACAGCACTGCGCTAAAGTCTTGCTGACCAGCTTATTAAGGAACAGACTTTCTGTAATCCTTTAAAATGGTCGGACTGCTGCCCCTAAAGCCCGGACCTGGATAAACAAACTATGAACGCCCAAAATCAAACAGTTCGACAAACGGAAATTAGGATTTTAGAAAAGGAAAATAATATAGAATGAAACTTAGCATCTCCATTATTTAAATTAGTTAGGATTTAAATATCCAGAAGGTTGTTAAAGCCCAGTGTGTAAAAATATTCGACTCCTTAGCGCCACGCAGTTCAGAGCATAGACATGAATACGTAGACGCCCCAGTGGGTGCTGGAGAGCGTAAGAGCATCGCCACCATTTTGGTTGGGTGGGTTTTTCACTCTTCAAACCAAACTGAAGTCAATGCAGGGTGGGCAACTTTGGCTGTTTTATTTATTTATTTATTTATTTGTGCCAACTATGGTTGCAGCAACCAGCGCACTAATGAAAACAGATCAGGTGGGATTTCTGTTGACTTTTCAAGCCTGCCCATTGGGATTTAATATTTTCATTAAAAAAAAATTTTATTATATGCGTATTTTAATTATCATGCCATACCAAATGTCTGACTTTGTGAAACAGCACATTAAAATGTGTTTTTAGTTGGGTAAGCACCTTCCTAAGTAGAAATAAATGCACCGGGAGCAAATGGAGACCCATTCAAGATGGCGGCCCGCTGCTACGCCAGCTCCAATAGGTGAAGGTATTTCTCCTCTGCTGAGGCAAAAACATCAACTATAGGGAGCCTAAGTCTTCTCCCTTTCTGGTCGGCTCATGGGTCCCCGGAAGAACAAAAAAAGGAAAGCAAGTCAACGGAGCTAAAAATGCTCTTTTCTAACTGGCTTTGCCTTAGGCGCTGGATCACACACATGTTGCACTGCAATTTAAACGATAAGTAATGATGGGTGTTTAAACCACGCCAGTCACGTACTTTGAGATTTATCAGCTTGTAAAAGTTTGTAATTAGCATGACTTTAATAATACATCAAACTTATATCACGCTTGTTTAGGACACTCTAATATGCTTCCATGCACTCTCACATTCACACACTGCCAGTTGTAGCGTCCAGCAGTGGTCAGTTTAGACACTGTTTGACCTTTTACCAGATGGTTGAATAGATATTCAACATCTGGTCAGAAAGGAGACACAGCATTGCTTTAAATCTGTCTGCTTCACACCAGCTGGGATTCAGACATCGCTAGTCTGAAAGAGAAACAATAACTTACTTTCCCCCAAGGTCCCATCTGTCTGCCTCCAGAAGGAAGGACTCCAGTTCGAATGAATTACTAAATTCAAGAATCATTTACTAAATCAATATGAACTCCTTCTATGACTTATAATCTAGATAATCATTAAATAAACATTTGGTTATTACTACTTATGATACTCATAGTATAATGAAATGCTTCATTAATCTGTGCTCACTGAATGGATGTTATATTTGTCTACTAGACTGCAATGTGTTCACCATGTTTTGACAACAAGGTCCTCACACCTGCTCCAAACAATAACAAGTACGGCTAAGTTAAATCCGTGACACATAATTAACCTTTTACCCAGATCAGAGCCTCCGGGATCCATGAAGGCGTGTTTCTGAGATTCTTGGTAAAACATCTCCAAACTTGTCAGCCTCTGATTGGCTGTCCAAATCATAACATCAAATCCTTAAAACTAAATTGCTTTGAGTGATTTGGCAGTTCTAGAGAAAGCTTCAGACCGCTCATCTTTAGCCAAATCTCTTTAACCATCAAAGATTTTGACACGTCGTCAAAACCTTTTTGCACCTACGAAGCTGAGACAGCAAACAGTTCCTGCAGAACAAAGCTGATATAGGTCAACTCCTTGGGAGTTATTCCTGAGACACAAGCTGATTCCAACCTGCGCTTCCTGGAGACATCTTTTGGACTGGAGAAGTCTGTGCTTGCGGTCAATCTACCGAACCTGGGTGACCCGAGGTCATCCGACCTCTCTGACCTCCGGATCCGTGACGAGGGTCATCAAAGGGTGAGGTAGAACACAGAGGGATGGCATCTGAATGTGCTTCTGACGATAACAACCTCATAGCTTAAGCAATCCAAATTCTTTTACATCCAGAACTCAGCGCTCTGAAATACGGAAGTTCTGACCAACACCGCATTTACAGATAGGTTCCAGACATCACCTTTAGCTCCATCCATTCACAGTAAATGCTTAGTTCACTTGTGTTATAATTGTAATAAAGTAATTTCTTACTTTTATAAACCTTTTCTGAATCAAAACGAAGTGTGTATAATTACTTAATGAAGCAAAAATCCTAGAATCTTCTGATTAAGCCCTATAATCTTCTGATATTTACAATAAAGATCAAGCAAGGTAATATTGTATATTTATACAGAATATCAAATAAATAATACACATTTGCCTCCGCTACACAGTGATGGTAAGCTACTTTGTGGCCACAGCCGCCCTGGGGCGGTCTGACAGAGGCGAGGCTGCCATTTGGCGCCGTCGGCCCCTCTGACCACCACCAACACAGGCAAGTTGGGTGAAGTGTCTTGCCCAAGGACACAACAGCAGAATACTCCTGGTGGGAGCTGGAATCGAACCCATGACCCTCCGAACATGAGACAACCCGCTCTACCTCTTGAGCTACTGCTGCCCCAAACTAGACTACAAACTAGAAATCGGCATGTCGCATATGTGACGTCACCACATAATCTCTCCCCTAGCGTAGCTGCTGCTCACCAAATGACCAGATTTATGGTGGTTCTTTCCTCCTGTGGGAAGTTTGCTGAACTTACAGCCTTTTCCCCTCAGTTTTCTCCGTGTCTGGTTCGATGACGTCACTTTCATGGAGCGCATTTGTAGCCCTGGACTTATTTTCACACAAAACCTAAAATAGCGTTTCCCCCGTTCAAAAATGAATGCTTTCTCGGTATCAAAATGCGTCTTTAAAATTAACGGACATCATGTGTGAAAGCTATGGCACAAAACAAGCAGAATTAGAAAATAGTGTTTTTAGCCCCTTTGACTTGCATTCATTTTTTCGTTCTTCCGGGGACCCGTGGTCTGGAATTAGAGGGCTTGACTTAGACTCCCTTTAGGCAGCACCAGTCCACAGGGTGTCTTCATATATGTCCATGGTTCAGAGTAGGTACTGCAGCTACAGTGGCCCACACGCATCAAAAAGGCAATGTGAAACACCACCCACCAGCTTTCTGCCGTCATGAGCCGATGTTATGCCATTTTCTGAGACCATTAGATTCTCTGTCTCTAGGGGGAGCCTGAAGAAAGGGGTTCAGACATTTTAATTGTTTTGTTCTCATAATGTAACTTGCTTGAACTCATATTCCATCTTAACCCTTTGGGCACCAGAGTTTTTTCAAGAAAATATTCAATTTTAACATGACTATTTCAAAAGATTGTAGCTTGGAAATTGATAAAAAATCTTCAGTACCAGCCAAAGTTTGTGTTGGGACCAAATTCACTCATCTAATTTGCATATTATGAAATCACTGGGCTGCCATATTGGAATGCATAATTTTTACAGCTGTTCCTTGGTATTTTTTCATGTTATTTAGAACATTTAAATTTATATATGCATACATAAAGCTCTTTTGATGTATTGATTTCATTGTTTAGCTTTTCAATGTAATTTTTTTTATATTTATATTGGCCTCACTCAAGAGAAATGCTTTTTAGCCATATTTGTCAGTTTTTTGGGGCTTGTACAACTTCAGGGATGTCGTTCCTATGAATGCAATGATCATTTCATCCAACGAGGAGAATATTTTTATTATTATGTGGCACACTTTTGACTTCCAGATGATACATCTGGTTTTCAAACAAAAAACTCAAAAATTTTCTATTTAAACAAACCCAAAAGTGTTGCTCGACCTGAAGTTACACATCTCCACTATCTTCTGGTGTGAAGTAATAACTTCATGAGGGATCATATTTGTAGCTGTGGCTCGTTAAGCTAAGTCCATTTCATGTTGTCGTTCTTTTATAAAACACAGAAACGGTTTGGTTACCTGTTACTGACGCTACAGCTTCTTCAGGCTGACGCTGATGGTGGCGCGTCACTTCCTTCTCCGTTTATCTGCGGGCAGCAGAGGACGTTGTCGCCCTCTACTGCCTGCGGGCTCTGCAGATAAACGGAGAAGGAAGTGACGCGCCACCATCAGCGTCAGCCTGAAGAAGCCGGCAGCCGTCGGCGAAACTGTAGCGTCAGTAACAGGTAACCAAACCGTTTCTGTGTTTTATAAAAGAACGACAACATGGAATTAGAAATAATCCACAGCAAGAACACACCTAAGATGTTCAAAGAGAAACTAAGTCCATTTTTTACTTTGTGTACATTTTATTTAGGAAACTTTGCTTTTTTTTGAGTAAAAATTCCTCAAAGTATTTGTACTTTTACTTAACATTTTAGTACTTCTACACAGAATTTGATAGTCAACAAGTAAAATAATTACACACTGTAGGTTTAAAGGTGTTTTTATTTTCTGTTTTTGCTCATTTTTTTAGGATGACATGGAGGGATCCAGTGGACTTACTGGTATCAGAGGACCAGAAGGAATACAGGTACTAAAATTCATCTTTCAAACAACAAAAACAACCATACACCATAATTAATTAATTCATTCATTCATTAATGAATTAATTGATTGATTGATTAAATAATACCAAACCCTGTCTGATTATTTGACTGGATCAAGTGTTTTGTTTGTCTAGGGTTCTCCTGGTTTACCCGGACATCCAGTAAGTAAAATAATAAAATATTTTTAGCCTCATTTTGTAAATATGGGGAATTTATTTACTTTTCAAGACCAAGAAACAAACAAAAAAAATAAAGCTGACCCATCAAGTTCATGAATTAAATTGCGGATTTATTCTAATTAGTGATCAAATATAGTAACAGACTGCTGGTTTAGCATTATCAGACCCTTTTACTTGAAAATCACGATAAAAATATATTTTTATTTTTTTAAGTCTTACTGACAAGCTGCAGCACAAAGACTTGTTGTAAAATAAGCAAGTAGCATCCTTTCATCATGCATTGTGTTTGGTTTCTAACTGGGATGTGTAAATTCTGCAGGGTGAACCCGGGCTGCCCGGTGCAGATGGTCCTAAAGGTGACCAGGGTCCGACTGGAAAAGATGGGCTACCGGGCCTGGACGGCTTTCCTGGACCTCCGGTAAGAAAGAAGAACTGATCAATAATTATTCATGTTTCCTTCATATTTTTATGAAGGCATTTTTAAAGTTAGATTAACATTTAATCCCACATCATCCCTACAGGGCCAAAAGGGTGACAGAGGTGACAAAGGAGAAACGGTGAATATCGCTTTTGATTCAGGATTAATTATCAAAGATTGTTTATAACCTTATTTTATTATGTTGTCCTCTCTTTGCACAACTGTGACATCTAAATGGTTTTGGTAGCTTAGATTTAGATGTGGAATTAGTTTGATCATTTATTTACTTTTTAATATTTTTGCTGTAGGGTGACCCAGGACGAGATGGAACTGGACTTCCAGGTCCACCGGGCCCCCCTGGACCACCTGGACAGATCATCTATCAGCCATCTGACAGAGTGAGAAACGTAAAACAAACACCCAGAAACAACTTTGTGTTTCGCTTTGAGACTGAAATGTAACTGGTCTTATCTCTACTATCGACAGCTTGATAATTTTGCTGGCGGCGCTCAGGTATGGATTAGATTTTTATCTGCAAATATTAAATATCTGGAAAATAACTATGGTATTTCCACATTGCAAGTTTGTTCATGATATACTATATATATATATATATATATATATATATATATATATATATATATTTGTTGTTGTTGTTGTCCGCAGGGTGGGCTTGGTTTACCTGGCAGAGCTGGACTACCTGTAAGTTTCATAATACAAAACCTATAAATGATTTTTTTAGATTTTATTAGCTTTTATCCTCTGGTTTCAGCCACAGAATCATCAATTTAAAGCTGCTTTCCGGAGTTTTCATCTTTCATGTATGATTTGTCAAAAATCCGTAAAAGTGATTATCTTATCATATACTGTGTGATATAATATAAGCAATACATCTTTAATTTAATTTTTTGCTAAGCACGCCCCCTGCCTGGCAGAGCTCCATGCAATAGGAAACTGAGCGCCAACCAGAACTAACCAATAGCGTTACACTACAGCTTACAGGCTTCAAATTTAAGGAATATCTGGGCTGATGTAGAGTTGATGAACTTTTCATGGACAAGAAAGTCTCTAAAATATAAATATATGAAAGCACAACATGGCATCAGAATAATACTCGTAAAACAACATGTTTTAGCTCTGTTTGTCGGCTACAGAAGTACATTTATAAACAGAAATGTGAAGTCTCCATCTTAAAAAAAACAGAGTGGTTTTGTGTGATACGCTTGTCAGCCACTAGATGGTGCCATTGGATAAGAGAAATACTCCGGAAAGAAGCTTTAACCAAGTTCAAGGTTCCTTATCTTAATAATTATAAAATGCTTTTCAACTTTCCGATTTCCAATCATAAAGCTGGGGTCCGTAGTGTGATGTCATCAAGGGGAGGAGGAGAAGATTTAAAAATTTTAACGTCTATTGCTCCCTTCCCCTTCTGAAAGGAGCTGAAAGCCACTCCCCATACCACGCCCTGTAGACTGGTCCTGTTATAGTGGCTAGCCGCCATCTTGGATGGGTTTCCATTCACCCCAGCGCATTTATGTCTACTGTGGAAGGTGTTTACCCAACAAAAAACGCATTTTAATGCATTTTCACAAAGTTAGACATATGCTACAGCATGATAATTAAAATACAAATGTAATTAAGCAATCCCACGTGATCTGTTTCCAATAACACGCTGAATGTTCCAACTTTAGGCTGCACAAAAAACGGGAGTAGTTGCTCATTCTGCTTTGACTTCAGTTGGGTTTGGAGAGTGAGGAACCCACCCAATATGGTGGAGACGGTGTTACATTCTCTGGCGCCCAGTGGGGCATGTACATATTCATGTCTATGTGCTAAGCTGATTACGCATCACTCCGGTGTATTTTGGGGCACATTCTCGTTGATTGACAGCTCCCTCCTGTGGATACACAAATTGATTGATCAAAGCTCTAGACCAGGGCTATTCAATTCTGGGCCTCGAGGGCCGGTATCCAGCATGTTTTAGTGGTTTCTGAAATCCAACACACTAGATTCAGTGGTTGAATCACCTGTGCAGCAGCTCTCCAGGCTCTGCAGAAGCCTGTTAATCACCTGCTGATTGAAATCAGGTGTGTTGAAGCAGGATTAAGACTAAAATGTACTGGATACCGGCCCTCGAGGCCCAGAATTGAATAGCCCTGCTCTAGACTCTCGGAACTATTTAATTTTGCTGTAGAGGCCGGGGAGGGACTTAGAAGAAATATAAATTCTGAAAGATTACACTTTATATCAGAAAACTTGGTCCTATAGTGTAATTTAAGCACTTGTGAAGTTATTTTACACCTTTTTAAAATATGTACCCCATCTTTAAAGCACTAAAGCAAACGTCCATGGACAAAGATTAATGAGCTTCTATAGTTTTAATACTGAATTTAGCTTGTAATGATTTTACAGGGTCCTGTTGGACCGAAAGGTGAAAGAGGTGACCCTGGTCCAGCAGGTTATGGTGTGAAGGTAAAGTCTACATCTTTTGTTATCCAACAATAAAGTTGTTAATCATGAGAATTTGAGCTTCATTGCTGTTATCCTGCATTCAGGGTGAAAAGGGGGAGCCAGGATTAATAATTGGACCTGATGGGGCTCCTTTGTACCTGGGGGGACTTACTGGGCAGAAGGTGAGTCTCCTCTGATCGTTTCATTTAACCAACTCTCTCCTGTTTTTTAACTAGTTATCTTTGTTTGGTGTCTTTAGGGGGACAGAGGACCCGCAGGACCGGTTGGACCTTCCGTAAGTGTTTCACAGATTTTCATTCTAGGATCTCTCACATTCTCTCCTATTAATTTGCGTCTTTTCTTCTTTTTGTGTGTGTGTGTGTGTGTGTGTGTGTGTGTGTGTGTGTGTAGGGTCCGTATGGACCTCCTGGATTAAAGGGAGAAATCGGAATGCCCGGAAGGCCTGTAAGAGTTTCTTTATTGTCTGTACTCCGTATTTTTACTTAGTAACAGTTTATGCCTTTATTTTTGTTCAGTTGTTTTTAGTGCAGGAAAAAAGATGATCCGTGATTTTAATCCCTCAGGGTCGCCCAGGTGTGAACGGATACAAAGGTGAAAAGGGAGAACCAGGAGGCGGCGCGGGCTATGGCTATCCGGTCAGTTCTAATGTTTGGTGATTGTAGTTAGTGAAAACATAAACATTTCTTTAATTATTATTATTATTATTATTAATTAGATCCTAGTTTCTAAGCTCAAACTCATGTTAAATCCACAAAAACAAAAACCAGTAAATGACTGTGTTTCATTAGGGAGTCGCAGGCCCACCTGGACCTCCGGGGCCACCTGGACCTCCCGGGCCAGCCATTCCTTTAGATCGCTATAACGTAAAAACACAGATCTTATGTTGAACATGTTCTTTCAAAAAGTCATTTTTTTAATCTGAAGGATTTTCTTGTTGTTTTTAGGCCTACGATGAAGCTTCAAGGAGTTATAGAGGTGTGCATCGTCTCATCACCAAAACTAAATAGAACCCATGCAGCCAGTTTAATTGAGTTTATTTTGTCTTTTCTTTTTAAAAAGTGGTTAAAGGAGACAAAGGAGAGCGGGGTGACCGCGGACCTCCTGGTAAATTCTACAGTTTAAATGAACAAAAACATGTTTACAAACACTGCTTATCCTCAGAAGTGGTTTAATTACTGAACCAACTTCATTACTTTGCAGGAACTGTCTCCAACTTTGATATTTACACATTGAAGGTAAACTAGCACACATCTGGTTGGTTTTCTGGATGGATTAAAAAAATTATAACCATGAGTGTTTTCCATCAGAATCAATTGAAGGGAGATCGTGGAGACACGGGTGTGAAGGGGGAAAAGGGAGAGCCTGGTCATGGATATTATGACCCACGTATTGAAGGGCTACAAGGCCCACCAGGGCCTCCCGGGAACCCGGGCCTACCAGTAAGTTTGAGAAGCTTTTGGAAAAGAAAAACAAATTTAATATAAAGCTACACTTTTTTCTTGCCAGGGTCCAAAAGGAGACTCTATAGTGGGCCCTTCTGGACCTCAAGGTCCTCCAGGGCCACCAGGGGTTGGTTATGATGGGCGTCCAGGCCCCCCTGGACCACCTGGGCCTCCAGGACCAGCAACATCTCCGTCGTTTACTGGAACACATCGGCCTCATTATCGTAAGTGACTTCTTGCTGTAGACTTTGGGACTAGTAACACCATTTAAATTGGCTGGTTGATAAACCAGGGCTGAAATGGAAATCTCTCCTTCGGAGGCTTGTCTACAACAAACATAAATAGTTGAAACAAGAAATCATAATATTTAGTCTTCTGACCAACTGGTGTATGCACCACTTCACTACTTCACCAATGTCCCAAAACATTTTCTTTGTTTACGTCTGCTCCTTTAGATTCATGCTAGCTTCTCCTTTTTGTCTTCTCCATTTGGGTGACTTCTTCTTTCTGCTTTGCTCATTAGTCCTATTGATTTCACACTGTAAGAACCACAACAGCCTTCCCTTGCAAGCAAACGGAGATCTGCGCTTTCTTTACTTTTGTGTTTAACCCATTGAACTGAACCCTGGTCCGCAATTGGTTGGCCCCATTCAGCCACAAATGGTTGGTCACTGATGGAAGAGTGAACGATTCAATCCCAGTCCCAGCAGGCCACATGTCCAAGTATCTATGGACAAGAAGTGGAACACAGAAGTTGCCGTCTGGGTGCTGTGTATATAGTATTCCAGGAATGGATAAAATGCAGAGAAACAATTTCCCCAAGGGGATAAATGAAAAATAATAAAACAAACAAATTTTTGAATAATTTTCCCCCTGGGAAGGTTTGTTTGAGCTGGTGTGAACATTGTAATTGATGTGGAACAAAACAGACCAAACAGTGCTGGTGTGAAACCATCCTACGTGTGAGACAATCAACCATGAGATGCACCCGTGTTGGTGCTCCCTCGTACAGACTTAAGGACTGTGTCATTGGAGTGAAGATAATAGCTTCTCATAGTTTTCTTGAAGTAGTAAGATGGAAGCAGATCATTGGTTTACTGATTTGAAGCACCCAGGTGAATTTTTAAAAGCCCAAATGTAGACAAAGTAGAACTCAACTCGAGGATTGCTCAACTGTCTGTCTGTTTTCATTTAAAGCTGTCAGTGTCCCTGGACCTCCTGGTCCCCCTGGCCCACCTGGAAATCCTGGTCTCTCATCTGGGGTGAGAGCCACCAATGTACTCTACGAATGTTCCCATGCTATTACTTATTTTATAGAGTTGTGACATCTATTTGCTTTATTTACTAAAATCTGAATATGAGGTTACTTTATTTTTCTACAGGTTACAGTTTTGAGGTCATATGACACGATGATTGCTACAGCCAGACAGCAGCCAGAAGGAAGTCTTATATACATCATAGATAAAGCAGATCTTTACTTAAGAGTACGAGAAGGACTACGACAAGTCATGGTATGGCCACCAATGCTTTAAAACATCACCCTGTTGGATTTTGTAGAGACTAAATGGCTCTTTTTCCTCCTCAGCTTGGACAGTACAGTCCCTTCTCCAGAGATCTGGTACGTAATCTAAGAAAACAAACATACCGTAAATCCTCTAATACAGGCCCGGGCCTGTATTTGACTCAAGCTCATCAAGCTCCAGGCCTTTATTGGAAGGAGGGCCAGTATTAGAGGCAGGCCTCTATTTTTATTTGAGCAAAATGAACTAATGGTTCGCTGGAGTTTTTGACAATTAAAATTGCGCCCACATTTTCAAAGTTAAACACATTTCTTTTAACAACGGTAGTTTCTGCTTCAGCCCTCTCCCCCCTCCCCCTGCTTCAGCCCTCTCCCCCCTCCCCCTGCTTCAGCCCTCTCCCACCTCCCCCTGCGCAGCAGCAGCAAACTCACTGATGCGCCTGCAGCCTCTCGGAGTTCCTGCTGCTCTAAACATTAAAATAATTATTTCATTTTTTGTTCCTCACTTCTGATTACCTTCAATGGTGTCTGTTTGTTGCAACCACCAGGTACAAAAACTAACTTGTTTTTATTTGACTATTTTTCTGTCCTGTCTGTTTATTATCTTCCTGCATCTCCTCTCAGTCCTAAAGAGAAACTGCTACCTGGGTTCATATGTATTCACCTCATGAGTTACCTTTGAACTGCAGTTCTAAAAGATCTACCGACCGCAAAAACAGCGGAGCGCTCGCTGTTTGGCGGCCGCATCAGTGATCTGTGCGTCAGAGGACAAGGTGATGCGCCCCGCTCCACAGCAGCGAAACGCATCAGGCGCAAATAAAAGACAGAAAACATTAAAGGAAATGAACCGACATGAACGATCGCGTGTCAGTACCTACGGTCTGGCACAGCGCGTTGCCCCCCCACCCCCCGAGCGCAGGAGCTTGTCACCTGCTGACAGCAGGCTGCTGTCTTTTCCGAGGGCTGCATCTTGCCGGTCATTATCACGTGACAGCGACTAGTCGACGACAGGCATAAAAAGTCACTATAGTGAAGTTGACTAGTTCATACACCCCCTACTGCTGCTCTCCAGAGTGTTCTGCAGCATAATCAGCACGTTCTCTTTGAACTTGATAGTGTAATGACCTGGCTGGGGTTGTAAGCCAGGTGCATTCTGGGTATTGTGTTATATGTGTTTCCTATCGTTCTGCTAGTTCCTATGTGCTGATTTGGTGTTGTGTGAGTGTTATGTAAGCCACAGGGAAGGTGATGTGTGTTCTGTGGAGCGGGTTGAATTAGCATGGTTAACTGACACCGTGACTCTGTGTGGTAGGAGCGTGATAGAGGATCGTGTCTGTAGCGTTACAAAGCTTTGAAGAAAAAGCCTAATAAAGGTCTGTGTGAACTTCTACTGCCTCCTGCTGGTTGATTTGGGGAGTATAACCCTGCCGCTGGGACGCTCATACTTGCTTGTTACCACATTCCACCCGGCCACAATAAGAGACCGGCCATTATTCACCTCCGCTGACTCCAACACCGGCCAAAATTGGAGACCCGGCCTTTAATTGAATACCGGCCTGTATTAGAGGATTTACGGTAGTCAAACATTTACCAGTGACCGTGCGATCACTGACTCTTTGGGTTTTCTGTAAAGGAAAACGAGGTGGTGGAAGTCCAGCCTCCACCTGTGATCGTGTACCCCCACAACTCTCAGAACAACGGAGCAGGTCATTATTCAGACAGTGGGTCAGTTATCCGACCCATTGAGCCTCCCCAGCCACGACCCCATCAACCTGTTCCTGGTTCTACTGGCCTCGTTGAGACACCAGAATCGGTAGTGAGTACAAACTGCATTTTGACATTAAGGAAATACGGTTAAATTTATAAATAATAAAGAACCCATGAGAAATGGGCTCCAATCTAAAAATAGTTTCTTTCTTTGTTCAGCTACACCTGGCTGCCCTGAACGCACCTCAGACCGGTGACATGAGAGGGATTCGTGGTGCAGACTTCATGTGCTTTCAGCAGGCTCGTGCTGTCGGGCTGAAGGGAACCTTTAGAGCCTTCTTGTCTTCCAAGCTTCAAGACCTGTATACCATCGTCCGCACGTTGGACAGGAAAACCTTCCCCATTGTCAACCTCAAGGTGAAACACTAATATTATGACCCCAATCTGAAAAGAGAAATTTTCTAAGAGATTGGACGTATATGCATGCATGGGAAGGTCACTTTGTTTTATTTCCCTTCTTCAGAATCAAGTCTTATTTACCAGCTGGGAGTCCATCTTCAGAGAAAACAGCAGCAAAATGAGGGAGAATGTCCCAATATACTCCTTTGATGGGAGAGATGTCCTCAGGGACAGTGCATGGTGGGTCTTTGTTCAATGAGTAGAAAGCATGTAATACTGAACCCTCTGGGGTGAAATTAAACTGTGCAGTGGTTTTGTTTCCTTGTCTGATTAGCAGACTCTGATGCTGTGTTTCTGTTCACCTCCAGGCCTGAGAAGATGGTCTGGCATGGATCGTCCAGCGAGGGCAAACGGAACATGGACCACTACTGTGAAACATGGCGTATAGACAACCACGCACTTACTGGCCTGGCATCGTCGCTGCAGAGTGGCTACCTCCTGCAGCAGAACCGCAGCAGCTGCTCCGGCTCCTACATCGTCCTCTGCATCGAGAACGCCTTCATGTCGTCCTCCAAAAAATAAATCCATCCTCCTTTTTGTTTTTCTAAACGTCCAAGCAGGCGTGTTTTGTTTTGCTCCTTTGATTTCGTAAAACATGACGTCAGTGAACCGGCCCTCGGGCGTTTTTGCTTGGCATGGACACTGCCCCTCACCCCCTTCTGCTCCTCCCCTCCAAAAACGCCAAAGAGAAGGGTCACAGCAGAAGGTCCTTTTTCTCTGAAGCTTTGGCACATATTTCTTTATGGTGCAGAACAATAATGTTCATCAATGAAATCCCCTTTAAAAAGAAACTGTATATTATGTTTGTTGTATGTGTTCTTTTTCATGTTATCCATGTTTTGCCATTTTGAACCGCTTTAGATCTTTTTTTTATTTTTATTTTTTTCTCAATTCCAGTGAATTTGGGGTAATAACGTAGTGCAGCGAACGTTTAAGGTCTATTTTAAATTTAAAAAGAAAGATGATAGATATTTATTTTTAAATGAAGTTATAAAAGGATAAAAAATGGAAAATTAATATCCTCATTTATTTGCCACATGATGCAGAACTTTAACTTTCTTCAAAAGAGCCTTTTATCAGAAAGTGTGCCTTAATACAAACCCAGGAATTTTTAACACAGTCAGATTATCCACAGCAGGAAACCACTCTGTGAAATAATTAGCAGATATGCAAAAGTTACAGCCTTAAAAAATTCTGGTACTGTGAGCTTAGTATTTTGGAAACCGGTGGTACGAATAGACTATTTGAGAGTGAGATCTTTGTCACGTTGAACTTTGATATCGAGAGGATTTCGTTGACTTTTGTCGACTTAAATCTGGCTGGAAGAAATGCTTATATCCTGCCAAGGTGATTATTAAAGACTGAAAAAAACCAACATATTACTTTGCGTTAAGTTCTAGGGGCTTAAATTGTCGTGACTGTTTCTGTGAATATGCTTTTTTTTCCTTTGTAATAACTGTGCTGTACTGTTTCTCCCAGGCACTGAATTAAAGACTTTTTTCAGTTACCAAGGTGATGTTCCATACGGCCATCTGCATTGTGTTTCATTATCACCCAAGATGTGAGGACTAATGTTTTGCCCAAGTGTGTGTGTGTGTGTGTGTGTGTGTGTGTGTGTTTTGTAATAGTAGGGAACGATCCCCATCATATTTGTAATAATATTTATATAAAAAGCTGTTTAAAATCAACCTTGTGCTCTATTGGCAAATTCACATCAGGCTGTAAACCATTCCAGTGACTGCTGGAGATCCGGGCTCTCTAGAAGTTTTATTTCCATTTTTCAACCATTTTATCCAGGAAATACAAATGCTCCTGGTAAATTATTATATTGAATCAATCTGTAAGCTATTTAAAGTATTTGACAGGTTATTTTTTAAATGTTAAGCTAGTGCTTTAGCATTGATCTCAGTGATTGTTGAGTTTGAAACTGTCAGGATGCGCTGAAGAGTGGAGCAGAGGTGAGGATCCAACCGCCGGGGAGGAATCAGGCAGGTAGACAAACTGGGCCAGGTAAGGTCTTTTAATGGGAAACACGCTGACATGGAAACAATGAGACAACAAGAGACAAAGAACTGGAGGGGTTTAAATACAGGAGGGCTGGGTGCTTGGGTGATTGGGAAACAAGAGGCAGGTGAGGGCAATCAACAGGGACACAGGCTGAACCAAATGGGGAGACAGGACAGGGTGTGACAGTACCCCCCCTACAAAAAAGGGCGGCTTCCAGATGCCCACAGAACAGGGCCGGACGAGGGGGACCCGGATGGAGGGCCGAGAGGGATCGAGGGCCCGATGAAGAGGAGGCAGGGACCAGCAGAGTCCGGGGGCCTGCACCCGGGGCAGAGGAGACGAGGACGACAACAGGCTCTTGGGGGCCTGCGCCTGGGGCAGAGGAGGAGGCGACAACGGGCTCTTGGGGGCCTGCACCTGAGGCAGAGGAGGAGGCGACAACGGGCTGTTGGGGACCTGCGCCTGGGGCAGAGGAGGTCTGTAGGCTGGGCCGGGGACATAGTCTCTGCAGGCTGGACCGGGGACATAGCCCCTTGGACGGGCTGGACCAGAGACTCGTAGAAGGGCTGGACCGGGTATGGTACAACCTCCGGAACCACCGCTGGAACTGGAGACGGCGTCGACCATGGAACTGGAGACGGCGTTGACCATGGGACTGGAGACGGCGGACTAGAGGGGACGCCGACCTCTGGACAGGAGGGAGCGTCGACCTCTAGACTGGAAAGAACGTCGACCTCTGGACTGGAGAGAGCGTCGACCTCCGGACTGGAGAGAGCGTCGACCTCCGGACTGGAGAGAGCGTCGACCTCCGGACTGGAGAGAGCGTCGACCTCCGGACTGGAGAGAGCGTCAACCTCCGGACTGGAGAGCATCGACCTCTGGACTGGAGAGAGCGTCGACCTCTGGACTGGAGAGAGCGTCAACCTCCGGACTGGAGAGAGCGTCGACCTCCGGACTGGAGAGAGCGTCGACCTCCGGACTGGAGAGAGCGTCGACCTCTGGACTGGAGAGAGCGTTGACCTCCGGACTGGAGAGAGCGTCAACCTCCGGACTGGAGAGAGCATCGACCTCTGGACTGGAGAGAGCGTCGACCTCTGGAGTGGATAGGGCGACTTCAGACGAGGCGACTTCAGAGGAGACGTCAACTTCAGAGGAGACGTCGACTTCAGACGAGACGTCGACCAGACGAGACGACTTCAGACACGTCGACTTCAGAGGAGACGACTTCAGAGGAGACGACTTTAGACGAGACGACTTCAGAGGAGACGACTTCAGACGAGACGACTTCAGACACGTCGACTTCAGAGGAGACGACTTCAGACACGTCGACTTCAGAGGAGACGACTTCAGACACGTCGACTTCAGAGGAGGCGTCGGCTTCTGGCCCGGGGTCGTCGACTACTGGCCCGGGGGCGTCGGCTTCTGGCCCGGGGGCGTCGGCTTCTGGCCCGGGTGTGCCGGCTTCTGGCATGGGGGCGTCGGCTTCTGGCACGGGGGCGTCGGCTTTTGGCACAGGGGCGTCGACTTCTGGACTGGAAGAGGCATCGACTTCTGGACTGGAAGAGGTGTCGACCATACGACTGGAAGGGGCGTCGACCTCCATCAACTTCTGGTCCGGGGTGTCGATTCCTAGTCCGGAGGCGTCAACTTCTGGTCCATCGACTTCCAAACCGTCGACCCCTGGACGATCTCTTGAGGCAACAAGAGACAAAGAACTGGAGGGGATTAAATACAGGAGGGCTGGGTGCTTGGGAAACAAGAGGCAGGTGAGGGCAATCAACAGGGACACAGGCTGAACCAAATGGGGAGACAGGACAGGGTGTGACAGAAACTTGACCAGTTTCATGTTTGACACCAGTCTGCAGCCAAAACAGCAGTAGACATCTTTGTGGAGCAGATAGCTGTTCAATAGGGGACACGCTTTACCTGATTTACTATTAGCTGTAATGCTAGCAGTTAGCATTTCAAGTTTGCCCATTGTCAATAAAAACCACTGTCGCGAGCGTGTCCTATTTATCGGTTGCTTAAAAACCTAGTTCCGTTAGAACTTAATAAGACTGCGCTGCTTTCTCATGGTTCGTGTGGCGTCGGTGAGTTTTATTGTATTAGACCCTGGTTTGGACTCCCTAATTAGAATCAGTTTCCTATTTTAAGGTAAAATGATATGCCATACTCGTTCTTCTGTGAAAGCACACTTCCAAAGTCAAAGTCAAAGTCATTTATTGTCATTTCTACCACATGTGCAGGACATACAGAGAAACGAAATTGAGTTTCAGTACACACAATTCAAAGATCAGACATACTTGGGTAAGACACATGACAAGAATTGGTGACTGCGGTCATTCGCAACATGAGTCGCGCTACCCTAATAGATAGATGAAAAGGGAGTTACATGAGGATAAGTGGGGGTAGGTAAAAAAAGGCATAGCAGAGTTAGACCCAGTGGGGAGTAACTCTATTATACAAAAAAAACTCCTTTAACATGGAAGCACAAACAGCACAGATACAACATCAGAGTCCGATGGGGAGGCGGGATCCTGAAGCCTCCAATGGGAGCTGCCACTGCGGCGCATCGACCAGCTGCAGACCAACAGGTGGGAGGGAGAGATAAGGACCAGAGAGCACATTGAGTTTCCCGCAGACGTCTCAATCTGAAGGAAGAGGGTGAAGGTCGGGACACAGCATCTGTCGGCATTCCTCCTTTCGTGGGGGTGTGTTGAAGCAGCCTTGAGAGGCTGCTTTGGCGTCAGATAAGGATAAACATGACTTTGTTTGGGGCAGGCAGAGATAATTTTCCTCTCCCCTTGGAGTCTATAAGTGGTCATTCCATGTCCACCAGTGAGGCCAATTTTACGTTCTAAACATCCCCACATCGTCCGGCGACCCTCTCCGAGATCAAATCCATCTTGCGTACTATCACAGGCAATGCCGCGAGGACATTATCCAGCTTGCGGTTCACCTCGAGTAACGTCCCAGTTTGTGAGGTCACCGCACGAGCGGCACATTCCGTGGGCACGGGTCGCACTCCAATCGCTCCCGGCTTCCCAAATTTACAGAAAACCAGATATCCTCCAACTCCAATCAGAAGAAATCCAGTGATCATCAGGCCGAATATCCACAAATCTTCCATGTCCTCGATGGACAACTGAGAGAGGCACACGATTCGCCAGACCTCCCAAGAATCGAGTGCATATCCCGATGCGAATGTCCCCTCGGGACAGGTGGGAGCCCCCTTCTCTGTTCTCATCGTAGAAAAAATCTTATCAATCGCGTTGAATGACCAGTTAATTAAGTCCATATTTCCAAAAAAGAGTAGTGGTTCAGGAGAAATGCAGAGAAGTGCTCTGTAGGCAGACGGGACAAGAGCCTTGGGGAAGCCGATAAGGGAGCTGAGAAAAAAGCGTCTGTACTCTCTGAAGGCTGAGAAGAAAGCCTTCCTTTTAAATACTCCTGTTATCTAGTGGTTTTAGATACTAGGGCAAAGTTCAGCAGGTGGCCATCCGTCGCTGACAATTCTTTGGGTTATATTAGGATTAATTCGCGCCTCTGTCAGCTTTTGTGGGTGGTGGTAACTAGAAAATGATTCTTGTTAGTTGATGAGGCTAACATAGATTTATCAATTAACCTAATTAATCCAACCTTCCCACGCTGGCGGAGACTTTTTCACACTTGCAAACAGAGCCTATTTTAACCTAGTAATGTTTTGGCTTATCATCCCTAAGACATCTCGTTACTCACGGGAGAGAAGACTAACTTCTTTACTTAAGGTTTCTTTTTCTTAATCTGTCACAAACCGTAAAGCAAATCCTGATAATTCAGGAACCTGTAATTAATGTGCATACCTCTCCTTATTGTTTCGGGTCGAGGCCCCAACTCGAACCTTTAAAGAGGACCTTTAAGAATCAGGAATGTGGATTCTTTTTCAAAAAGTTTATTACAAGATTAAAAAATACAAAAAATGGGTAGATATAAGACTGATCACTACCCCCAAGGGGAAATTAATCCTAATAATTAACTAAGAATAATGAGTTGGCTTACACCAACTCTAAATCTTCTTCAGCTTCAGGTTTAATACCCTCTAACACACGTTCACTAACTCTCTCTCAAAAATTGCTAAATACAAAAAAAATGAGTAAATATAAAAATACCCTATCCCCTGTGGAGGATGCTAATGCTAAAATCTTCCTGACCTGTCATCCTCCGTCCAGAGGACGGAGGATGACCTCTTCTATCCCAAATCTGCTCTGTCTCTCACTGTCGACTGCCCCAACTGTTGTGTCAGCTCTGCTTCTAGCTGCTCTTTTTATACTCTTCTTGGGACTGCCTAGACAAGGTAAAAAGTTCACTAGTTACACATAAATCATTATCACATGACAGTAAGGTCATGGGGTCATCTACCAGATACACACTTTTTTAGTTCAACACATTCTTCAGGACGGCTTTTCAGCTGAACACAGGCCATTAGGTGTCTTTTCTCGAAGTCCAGCATTCTTCATGAAG